CCCCCCCCCCCCCCAAAAAATCCAGCAACTTTGAAGCAGCAGCCGCAGCTCTGGCTCTATAAATGGGAAGACTTTATTTAAAACTACAGGAATGTTTACTTTGATGCCTTTTTGAGGTATATTATCCTTTGAATGCGGTAGAAAAACTCAAGAGGGGCCCTAAAGTTCCTCAGGCGCACCCAGCAACGCCTGGGGTGCTTTATTGGGTGTCTGCTGCTGCTGCTGCTTGCGGGGAGAAGCGGCTTTTTCTTCGGAATATAATTTAAAAAATAAAATAAAAAAGAAGAAATAACAAGGAGAGACGCGAGGAAGAAGACAGACACGAATCCAAACTGCCTGGGGGCCCCACAGGCCGCTGCAGCCTTCTGGGCTTTGCCAGCCGCGCTGGGGGCATCGACTTGCTGCTGGGGACGCAGCAGGCGCGTCTTTGCTTCTAAAGTTTGAAAGTTTGGAATTAAATAAAAGCTTTTAGAGTTTAAAACGCAAAAAGTCGTTTGAAAGGTTTGCTGCGGCGAAGACGGACCGCTGGGCTTCCCGTGCTGCAGCTGGCGGGCTGGGGCCCTCCGCCGTGGCTGCTTCGTCTCTGTCTTGCTGCGGACAAAAAGGGTTTAAAGGGTTTAAAATCCTTTTCTTTGTTTGAAAATTAAAAGGGTTTGACTGTTTTTTGTTTGCCTTTCAGCTGCTTCAGAGGCAGTGACGCCTCGAGGCTTCCGGCGAGCGAGCTGCGTCGTCTCGAGGGTTTAGGGTTTTGGTTTCGGGCTTTCGGGTTTAGGGTTTAGGGTTTAGGGTTTAGGGTTTGGGGCTTACGCTAAGCAAGATGGGGGCCACTGGCGGGTCGCGGCGGCCCTCTCGGCTCCTACTGCTGTTTTTCGCGCTGCTTTTCGCCTTTTCGGTGCCTGCTGCTGCTGCTGCTGCCACGAAGCCAGCAGCAGCAGCGGAGCCCTCAGAAGCAGCAGCAGAGCAGCAGGAGGCAAACGAAGCAGCAGCAGCAGCAGCAGATGAGGAGCCCGCCTGCACTACAGGCCTAAGAGACGCACTTAACGCGGCCATCGCTGAGATGCACAGTGAGTGTTTCGAGCAGCAACAACCCCAGCCTGCTTCAGGGTTTAGGGTTTAGGGTTTAGGGTTTGTGTCCCGCGCTTCGCGAGTGGCCGTCACCCCCGTGGCGCCGTGCCGCCTCCCCGCCAGCCGAAGCGGGCCTCGACTCAAGGGTTCACACTCTACGCCCCAGGGTTTAGGGTTTAGGGTTTAGGGTTTAGGGTTTGCGCTGCTGCTGCTGCTGCTGCAGCGGAGCACTACATGGCGAACGAGCTGCTGAGTCGCTACAAGCGGGTGCCCTACGTGCCGGTGCTGGCCTGTCCGCTGCTGCAAACCCCCGAGGGTTTGTGGCCCTCATTAGGGTCTTTGCATCCTTCGGATTTGCTGCTGCAGGTGCTGCACAGGGGCGTGCTGCGCGTCGCCACTTACGGGGTTCCCCCGCAGCAGCAGCAGCAGCAGCAGCAGCAGCAGCAGCCGCAGCAGCAGCAGCCGCAGCAGCACCCGGACGGGCCCCACAGGGCCTACAGGGGGTTCGACTGGGGAGAAGAGGCCGACTACTCCAAGGACCCACCCAAGGGTTAGCCCCCATTCAAGGGTTTAGGGTTTAGGGTTTAGGGTTTAGGGTTTGTGTCGGTTCGACGGGCTTTTCGCGACCCAGCTGTATCGTCCAGTTCCCCTTCCACGCTGCAGGCCGCCCCAGGCCGTCAGGTCCCTTGTTTAGGGTTTAGGGTTTAGGGTTTAGGGTTTGGGGTTTGTGTGCGCAGGGTTTTTCCCGGACTACCTGCGTCGGCTGGTGTCGGTGCTGGGCGCGCACTACGGCCGCGGGGTGTCTGTACACTACATGTACTACACCAGCGGGGCTGCATGCTTGCGATCTGTTTTAATTGGCGAAACAGACATGACAGATATATACTTTTTGCAGTCCATGCCCGACGACGACTCTTTGCTGCACTTCTCCCTCTCGGGGGGGGCCCCCAAGCAGCTGCCTGCGCCAGAAGCGGCTTCCGAGGGTACCGGGGGGCCCCCGGGGGGCCCCCCGGACGCGCCCCAGGCTTCCCCGCAGGACCCCCAGGGGGCCCCCCAGGGCCCCGGGGGGGCCTCCGGGGGGCCCCCGAGCCCCGGGGGGGCCCCCGGGGGGCCCCTCAGCCAGGGGGGGGCCCCCGGGCCCGTGGGGGGCCCCAAAAGGGGCCTCATGGGAGCCTACTTCTACAGAACTTGCCCCGTGGTGGGGGCGAGTAATGTGTTTGTGACGAGAAGTTCTTTGAACTTCAAATCTTTGAAAGAAGTTGCAGCTTATATTCGAAGACACCCCGGCAGCAACACTGTTGCTTTCTTGACAGCAGCAAACTACAGAACTGTTGCTTTTCTGCTGCCTGCAAACACTCCCTTCGTCGTGATGCCGAGTGAGTCTTCGCCCCGCGCCCGCAGACCCTAAATCAGGGTTCAGAGCGCCGCCCCAAACCCTTTTCGGGGGTTTGCAGCGTGGCTTGGGGTTTGCGGGGTTGCTAGGCTTTGGGAGCGCTTTCGAGGGTTTCCCGGGGCTCGGGAGCACTGGGGTGGGGGTTTGAGGGTTTGGGAGAGCTAAGTAGGGTTTGGTAGATTAGGGTTTGGGGGAGCTACTCAGGGTTTAGTAGGGCTTATTAGGGTTTGTTGGGCTTTATTAGGGTTTACTAGAGTTTGGTGGGGCCTGCTAGGGTTTGGAGTGTAGGGTTTGGTGGGCACCAACGAACGGGCGGCAGGGGTTTAGGGTCTAGGGTTTAGGGCGGGTCCAGGGCCGCAGGTCGAGGGTTTAGGGTTTGAAGTTCACAGTTAGGGTTTTAGAGGGGTTTCAAAGGTTTTTAAGGGTTTCTGAGGGTTTTTAAGGGTTTTCGAGGGTTTTCAAAGCAAACCCTTCCAAACGCTTTCCTAACTTCCCCACATCCCCAGTGGCTAGGGTTTAGGGTTTAGGGTTTAGGGTCTAGGATTGCTGGTCAAGGATTGAGGGTTTCGAGTTCAGAGTCTCACCTCCAAGACCCACGCTTCCACCTGAATTCCCCCTCCCTCCGCATCTACTCTCCAGTGCCCACTGCCCAGCGGCTAGGGTTTAGGGTTTAGGGTTTAGGGTCCACTGTCTACTGTGCACAACCTAGTGCCCAGTGCCTAGGGTTTAGGGTTTAGGGTTCAGGGTGTAGTGTCCGCTGTCCACTGTCCAGCGTCCAGTGTCCACTGCCCAGCGCCCAGAGTTTAGGGTTTGGGGTTTAGGGTTTAGGGTTCAGAGTGTAGTGTGTAGTGTCCACTGTCCAGTGTCCAGTGTCCACTGCCCAGCGCCCAGGGCTTGGGGTTTAGGGTTTAGGGTTTAGGGTTTGGGGTGTGTGCAGAGGCCGCGGCGCTCTCCGCAGTGCGCCGCGGGGAGCTGCTGGGTTTGCTGCTGACGGGGTCTTTAAAACCCGAAGAGGGTTTGGGGCTGCATGCGCTGAAGACGAAGGTTTTCTCATCTGTGGGGCCGTGGCTGCGGCGTACAGACACCCCGCGCTGCCTGGCCCACAGGTTCCGCACGGACCTCGCGGCCCTCAGGCCCAGGCCTGCTGCTGCTGCTGCTGCAGCGCAGCAGCAGCAGCAGCAGCCGCTCAAGGCTGCTGCGCGGGGGCCGCACGCACACGCAGCCGCCGCGGTCGCCGCAGCGGCGGCGCTCGTCGTCGCTCTGCTGCTCTACTGAGCAGCAGCACTAGTTCCTGCTGATGACGGTGCTGCTGCTGCTGCTGCTGCTGCTGCTGCTGCTGCTGCTGGCGGTGGTGGAGGTGGTGCGGCGTGTTTGTGTGCGCGGGATCGGCGCCTGCTGCTGCGGCTCCGGGCTCAGGCGGGTGATTTTGGTCTCGCCAAAGCAGCAGCAACACCAGCAGCAGCAGCAACAGCAGCAGCAGCAGCAACAGCAAGAGAGAAGCTACAAGTAGCAGCTAGCGCATTTGTCTCGAGGGCTCTACTGTGGTCCTGGTGCGGCGAACCGCCGCTGCAGCAGGGTGCTGCTGCTGCTGCTGCTGCAGAGTGCTGCAGCAGCAGCAGCAGGAGCAGCAACAGCTGTGTAGCAGCAGCGGCAGCAGCTTTGTAACAGCAGCAGCAGCACAGATTGCATTGGTTCAATAGGGTGGAAGCAAAAGCGGCAGAGAGCCGCAGCTGCTGCCCAGAGGCCTTTTTGACTTAATTTCCTTTTTTGGAAATTCAAAATTAATTCAAACAAAAAGATATTTTCAAAAAAAGATATTTGCAAAAATAAAAGTTTATTTAAAAAAGAATTTATTTGCAAGACAAAAGTTCAACTTTAAGTAAGATATTTGTAAATGCAAAAAGACCTTCTTGAGAATTGAGCCCCTAGTCTTGTGAGTTTCATTTTCGTTTCAATTTCATCTTTTATTTTTTTAATTTATTATCATTTGTTTATGTTTTTTGGTTTTTGTTTTTATTTTTTATTTTCGGTTTTTGGCACTTCTGCTTTCCTTTGAAAAATTTTGCAAAAGAATTAAATGAAAGGGGACAGAGTAACGAAGTGTACATACACTGGAAACAAAGTGGAAATGCAAATTAAAATAAAATTAAATTAAAATTTAAGTGCGAACTTAATGGCATTAGTGTGGGTGCAATTGAGCAAAGAAGTTGAAGTGGTGCTCAGCATCAAATACAAATATAAATAATTTAATTAATTTATTAATTTATTAGTTGAATTTGTTTAACTAATTAAATTAATTAATTAATGAATTAAGTAGTTAATTAATTAGTTTGTCATTCAATTAAGTTAGTCATTTAATTTGTTTGTGTGTTTCTTTGGTGAAGCTGTCAACTGCATTTGTTTATTTCTTTTGGAGTTTTTTTTAGTTCTTTCTGAGTTTTATTCCAACTGGTAGACTTTATTTGTTAATGATATTTATTTGTTTTTTATTTGTCTTTGTTTGTTTGGAATAGTTAATTTATTTGCTTCTGTTGCTGCTGCTGCTGCTGCGTGCATGCTGCTGTTTGTTTCTGCTGCTGCACTCATTGTATGATTCTGCTCCCTTTTTTGTTTTAATATTTTTTTAATTAATTTTTTTGTTCTGTTTTTGTCTCTTCTTCAACATTTCATTGAGTCGCTTGTTTGCGTCCCGCCAGCAGCAGCAGCAGCGGCAGCAGCAGGTGAAACTATGCTTATATACTATTTTCTTTCTTCTGCATGCACTTTTATATAAATAAATATACTAAATATATATTTCTTAAATGGATTAAAAGCCAAATGGGCTTTTGCCCTGAGTGAGAACATGATCGTGCTGCCTTGAAAAGCGCAGCAACAGCAGCAGCAGCAGCAGCAACTGCTAGAGCAGCAGCAGCGGCAGCAGCGGCTACTGCAGAAGCAACACCAGGGCAGCAGCAACAGCAGCAGCAGCAGCAGCAGTGGCAGCAGCAATTCAAAACGCATTTGCGAGTGGGCTTTCAGACAAATTGAAATCGCGAAAAAGAAAAGCGACAAAAATGAGATGTACATACACTCCAAAAGAACAAGACGGAGCTGCGCGTACACCCCAAGGGTCAGCTGCTGCGCCGCGAAGCCCTAAGGGAGCAGCGGCAGCAGCAGCAGCAGCAGCAGCCGGTGCCGCTGCTGCTGCTGCGAACATGCGGACGTAGCTGCTGCAGCTGCTGTTGCAGCAGCTGCTGCTGCCGCTGCTACGGCCACGGCGAAAGACAAAATATTAGAATTTGTTGCTGCTGCGCTGCTGCCCTAAAGCTGAGGGGGCTCACACAGCAGCAGCAGCAGCAGCAGTGACAGCAAGGGGCAGCAGCAGCAGCAGGTGCAGTAGGAGCTCCTGCTGCTGCTGCGATTCCTGCTGCTGCTGTTGCTGCTGCTGCTGCTGCTCCTGTGGCGGCGGCAGCCGATACACAAAAGCCACTCACGTGATTTTGACGAACTAAACCGCCTCAAATAGCTGCAGCAGCAGCAGCAGCAGCAACAGCAACAGAAGCAACACAGCACCAGTATAAGCACCGGCGCCAGCAGGAAGCAAGCACGCAAACAGCAGTAGTAGCAACAGCGGCAGCAGCAGCAGCAACAACAGCAGCAACAGCAGCAGCAGCAGCAGCAGCAACAGCAGCAGCAGCAGCGGCGCAGTCCAGAATTACAAGCCTGAAGTCCTGACGTTTCAGGTGACAGCGTTCGCTGTTGAGTATCTTCTGTTCACACTTTAGGGTTTAGGGTTTAGGGTTTAGGGTTTGGGGTTTAGGGTTTGGATCTTACTGAAGGCGGAAATAAAAATAAGTCGAAAATGTCAAAAGTTGCTGCTGCCCTCAGCAGGAGCAGCACCAGCAGCAGCAACGACAGTAGGCAGCGGCGAAGGAGGTGCTGCAGCAGGATAGAGAAGCAGCAGCAGCAGCAGCAGGATATAAATGCAGCAGCAGCAACGGCAGAGCGTACAAGAAACAGAAGCAGCAGCGGGATATAAAAGCCACAGCAGCAGCAGAATCCAAAACTAGCAGCAGAAGAAGGACATAGAAGCAGCAGCAGGAGCAGCAGCAGCAGAACTTCAACTCCCGCTAAACGGCTTGGCCACCGTATGCGCAGTGCGCTGCTGTCTGCAGCAGCAGCTGCTCGCTGCTGCTGCTTCTGCTGCTGCTGCTTCTGCTGCTGCTGCTGTTAGAAGGCCTTACTGCTGTCTTCCTTCGGTGGCTGTATAATCCGTTGTCTCATGTGCTGCTGCATGTGCTCCTGCAGCAGCTGCTGCTGCAGCCACTGCTGCTGCAGCAGCTGCTGCCCAAAGTAATCAGGAAATCCCACTTCATCTGCGTCTGGGTCATCTCCCATATCAGCCCAGCGGGGCTTCCTAGGTTGCTGCTGCTGCTGCTCCTGCTGCTGCTGCTGCTCCTGCTGCTGCTGCTGCTCCTGCTGCTGCTGCTGCTCCTGGCCCTCCTGAGGCTCATGCTCTTGCTGCTGCTGCCCCTGCCCTTCTGGAGGGCCATGCTCTTGCTGCTGCTGCGCTCGATCCACAGAATGCTGCTGCTGCTCCTGCTGTATCGGCTCCTGCTGCTGTTGCTGCTCCTGCTGCTGCTTGCGGCGTCGTTGTGGGGAATCATGCTGCTGCTGCTGCTCCTCCTCCCGTGGTTGCTGCTGCTTCAGCTCCTGCTGCAACTGCTGCAGTTGTTTTTGCTGCTGGAGCTCTTCCTCCATAGGCTCCGCCTGCTGCTGCTGCTGCTGCTGGCTAGACCTGCTCTCGGACCCTAGCTGCCGCTGCGGGGACTCCTCTTGCTGCTGCTGCTGCTGCTGCTGCTGATTGTCGTGAGGCTCAGCAGAACCTTGTGCTGGTTGCTGCGGCTGTTGCTGCTGCTCTCGCTGCTGCTCCCGTGGCTGCAGATGCTGCTGCTCATGCTGATCAGGCTGCCCTATCTCAGGCTTTGAGGACTCCGAAGGCTGCTGCTGCTGTTGCTGCTGCTGCTGCTCCTGCTGCTGCTGCTCCTGCTGGGGCTGTTGCTGCTGCTGCTGCTGCCTCTGCTGCTGCGGCTGTTCTTCCTGCTGCTGCGTCTGCTGCTGCTGCTGCTGCTGCTGCCCCTGCTGCTGCTTCTGCTGCTGCGGCTGCTGTCCCTGCTGTTGCTTCTGCTGCTGCTGCTGCTGCTGCCCCTGCTGTTGCTTCTGCTGTTGCGGCTGTTTTTCCTGCTGCTGCTGCTTTTGCCGCTGCTTCTGCTGCTGCGGCTGCTGCTCCCGCTGCTGCTGCTCTTTCTGCTGCGGCTGCTGCGGCTGCTGCTCCTTTGGCTGCTGCAGCTGTTGCGCCCCCTCATTGTCTGGTTGTTTTGGCTGCTCCTGCTGCAGCGCGGCGTCCTCAGCTGCTTTGCAGTGCTCCTGCTGTTGCTGCTGTGGCTGCTGTTGCTGCTGCGGCTGCGGCTGCTGCTGCTGCTGTTGCTGCAGCTGCTGTGGCGGCAGAGGGTCTGGAGAAAGAGGATCGCTTTTTGAAGGGCCGTTATGCTGCTGCTCCTGCTGCTGCTGCGGCAGCTGCTGCTGCTGCTGTGGGGTTCCCTCCTCAGCAGGCTGCTGCTGTTGCTGTGGGGTGTCGTCCTCAGGAGGTTGCTGCTGCTGCTGCTGCTGCTGGGGCTGAGTGTTCTCTTCTGAATGCTCTTGCTGCTGCTGCTTCTGCTGCTGCTGCTGCTGCCGTTTTTGTGCAGAAGCCGCGAAGGCTTGCTGCTCCTCATCCGGGCCGTCATGCTGCTTCTGCTGTTGCTGTTGCTGCTCATCCTCAACAGGCTGCTGCTGCTGCTGTTGCGGCTTCTCCGGAGACTCCTGCTGCTGCTGCTGCTGTTGCTGTTGCTGCTGCTGCTGCTTCTCAGCTTCTTTGGGAGCAACTAAATCTCTTTCCGGAGAAGCAGGCGAGGGAGATTGTTTTTCTGGGAGCTGCTGCTGCTGCTCGTGCTGGTGTTCCTGTTGTCCCTCTTGCTGCTGCTGCTGCTGCGGCTGTTGCTGCTGCTGTTCCTGTGGCGGCTGTCGCTGCTGCTGCTGTTCCTGGGGAGGCTCTTGCTGCTGCTGCCTCTCTTGCTGCTCCTGCTGCTCCTGCTGTTGTTCCTCTTGCCGCTGTTGCTGCTGCTGCTCCTGCTTTTCCTGCTGCTGCTCCTCTTGGCGCTTTTGCTTCTGCTGC